AGGAGTCTCGAGTGTAGCTTAAGCAAGGGAAGTCTCAGTCTGGATGGCCAGAAGAGCAGGTGGCTCGGCCAGAGGATGTGAGCAAAGAGAAATCTTAGACATGTGCTCTAAGAAAAGGTAAGTCTCAACCAGAAGACAAATGAACAGGTGACTCAATTAGATGGTGTGAGAAAAGGTTTAGTCTTAGAGATGTGCTCTAAGCAAGGGAAGTCTCAGATAGTTGGTTTGAGCAGTTGTAAAAGTCTTATGCAGAAGCATAAGCGATTGTAATCATGAAGTGATTATAATGAAAAGCTATTGTGAGGCAAGGAAACTGGACTACTCTCTACTAGAGGAGGAACCAGTATAAACCTTTTGTGTCGTATGCTGTTATTTTATTTACTTTTGTTGTATCTGCTGCCAAACAAACTAACTCATAATCTGAACATCAGTTCTAATTATGAAACTCTGATTAGAAGCTAAATTGAAAGAAAACGTGAAACACAATCCAACTCCCCCCCCCCCCAATTTTTGTGTACTTTTCACACCTTCACGATTCTCAAGTCATTTCTTTTTATCTAGTTGAAGGAAATTGTGAAAATAATGTTTACAAGATCTCTATTATTCTTCAATTAGAAAATGATCCTAAAACCTATAAAGAAGAAGTGGCTTTAAGGGACTCTTCTTTATGGAAAGATCTTATCCAAGATGAAATGGATTCATTTATTTCAAACCATGCTTAGGAAATTGTCGATCTCCCAAAGGGTTTAAGGCCCAACAGATGTAAATGGGTGTTAAAAAAGAAATATCATAGTGATGGTACATTAAACTCCTACAAGGCTAGATTAGTAGCAAAGGGTTCAGACAAAAAGAAGGTGTTTGTTATTTCGACACATATGCATAAGTAGCAAAGAGGACGACAATAAGAGTATTGTTTGCATTAGCTTTTCTCAATGACCTTATAGCTCATCAAATGAGTGTTAAAACAATATCTTTAAATGGAGATCTGGATGAGGAAATCTACATGGAACAACTAGAAGATTACATGCTTCATGGAAATGAACAAAAGGTATGCAAACTTGTCAAATGCTTGTTTGGTTTAAAACAAACACCAAAACAATGGCATCAAAAGTTTGACTTTGGCATACTTTTGAATGGATTTACTCAAAATTCTTGTGAAAAATGTTTGTACACAAATTTGCATGAAAACATTGTAATTTTTTTGTGTTTATATGTTGATCATTAGCAATGAGATGAACGGAATTTCAGAAATAAAGATATTTCTAACTTCCATATTCAAGATGAAAGATCTTGGACTAGTTGAAACTATTTTAGGAATCAAAGTAAAACAAAATGTTGGGTGTTATGAACTTAGTCAAACACATTATATTTAGAAAATTTTGGATAAGTTCAAACACCTGCACTTTAAGGAAGTAAACACTCCATTTGATTCTAGTGTCAAACTTCCAAAAAACAATGGTAGAATTATGGCCCAATTGGAATATGCAAGTGCATTCGGATGCCTAATGTATTTAATGCAATACACCAAACCTAACATAGCATTTGCGGTTAGTAAGATGAGTAGATTTACTAGAAATACAAATGGTGAACATTGGAAGGCCATAACAAGGATTTTTGGTTACCTCTTAAAGAATAAAAATCTTAGCCTTCATTATGGTAGGTTTCCTGCCTTACTAGAAGGAGATATCAATGCGAGTTGGATATCAAGTTTTTGATATCGTAAATCTACAACTGGGTGGATATTTACATTAGCTAGAGGTGCAATTTCTTGGGAGAGAAAGAAACAAACATGCATTACTCTTCCAGCCATGAAATCAGAGTTTGTGGTTCTTGCTTCTGTAAGTCAAGAAGCAAAATGGTTACAAGAGTTTCTTTTAGAAGTTCCATTGGCTAAAGACAATGTTTCAAAAATGTAAATACATTGTGATAGCCAATCCACCCTGGCAAGAGCATTCAGTGAAGTATACAATGGAAAGTCTAGGCACATAGGTCTTAGACATTCTTTCATACGAAAATTAGTTAAGGATGGGATAATTTCACTAAAATATATATGAACAAGCTATAATTTAGCTGATTTGTTTACTAAGTCACTGGTCAGAGACTTAGTAAAGACTACCTCGAGAGGTATGGGATTAAAACTCCTTGAATAAGGGTTTTGACAACGGTAGTAGCCCAATCTGAAGTTAACAAACCTTAACCTACGACTTAATGGGTAACAATAAGTCGTTGATTTGGATGTTTGTGCATCATTTTGTGACAGTATTGACTATTACATATTGAAAGTTGAGTTTTTCAAACTCTTAATGAAGTTCTATATCGAGGATATATCTAAAAAGTTAGACACAAAATGAACCTCATCTATATGAATTTCGAGATGGTGTCGTCTTAAAGTGTGAGTTTGAGTTTCTCTAATGAAAAATTCACGAAAATAGGAAAAGAACATGGCCATAAATAGTGCTAGGCAAGAGATGTAGGCGAATAACCATTAAAGAGTGTATCTTAGGTAACACTGATATAATCACAAGGGATAACGGTTCAAAGCATTGCTACCTAACATTCTGATTAGACTTTGCATTATCCTTACTGAGGTTAAGCTTAAATAGAACGATACTTAATTATATTAGCATTCTTTGTTTTATTTTTATGGAATTGATATTGTCATTATTAGGGCAAGTGAGATATTGTTGTAATTTATGAACAATAAATGTCCATGGGCATGTTTAAAAATGACAAGAGAAGTGAAAGTAAGTAAATGTAATTAAATGCTTGGGAAATAACCCCACATAGAAAGTGAAACTCACATTTAAAGCCCTTATAAAGAGTTATGTTCATTAACTCAACAAAAGGACAAAAGAGGATAAAGTGTCACATGGACAAGTATGGTAATCCCAAGTATTATGCCACTTATCTCCTTCATACACCCCTCGTCAGTGTCTCCACCGGCAACATCAGCTCCGTCTCCGGGGCCGGGTCTGACGGCGTGGATGTAGAGGCGCTAGTTACGGCTTATAGGCAACACTTGAGCACTTAGGCACGACACATCTGAGCAATCGGGCTACTCGCAGCATTGGCAGCGCTTCAGCGATCGGCCTTCGGCCGACATATGGTAAATGGTTGTTGCTTGGTTTTGATCGTTGCTTGATTTTGAATTTTTGAATTAGAAAATATGCAACACTTCGTGAAGTGTTGCAAAATGAAAATATGCAACACTTCTTATAAGGAGTCATTTTAGCCTTCAACACAACCTTTCTATTTTTAACCTTTTTTTTACTTCTTATTAGACCTTTATACCATCATCTTTATTAATACCTTCACTAACATGAGCAGATCCAACATGAACTTCATTGTTTTTATGGATAGAACCCTCATAAGCACTAACATAATCATTCACAACATCATCAATATTGTCACTCACATTACTAACTACATCATTCACTTCAGAATTAACAAGGGCAACTTGCCCATCCTTCCTGTGATTCAGAAAATCAGTCACCAACATGTCATACAGGTTGTCTCGCACATCTTAGTTGACATCTACATTCAAGTACCTATTGAGGGAGGCACTTTTCACAATCATATGGTAAATAGTGAACATACTACTATAATACAAACCTAACAACATTGTGATGGCTTCAAGATGAGAAATAGGAGTAGAGTCTTCATCATAGCCTTGTGCTACAAGTTGAGCCTTCTTTCTAGTAACAATTTTATGACTTTTCTTATTATTGTTATTAACACCCTCAAAATAGGACACATTATCATCAATCACATAATTATTCTCCGGTGTAACATCATCAAAATGTAGAATATTATGGGGAACAATGTCTAGGGAATGTTTCATGACATACAACTTATACCTGAGATTCAACACACCAAGAGGAACACTCATTTTAGCTTCACCAAACAAAATACCTTGATTTAGAATAGTGAAAATTCCATAATTATGAGAAGGAACACCAATAGTAAGAATTATGCTATTATCACTAGTCTTCTTTAGCTTCTTCTTCTGAATCACTGTTAGTTGATCAGTGTTGGGAGGATCTCTAGCCTGACCATCTGCCTTCCCTTTAATGACAACTCCTTGCATGAGTCTCACAAAGTCCATAAGTGGTAATTATGAAACATGAGTAAGATGTTGACGCATCTTGTATGACATCTTGGTTTGCTTTTCAATTTGGCCCTCTCCACAAATTTTTCCTTCCTCAATCATGAGATTTGGAAATCCCTTGACAGCATCTTCAGATATGATCTCCTTCATACTCTTAACCTTGGATGAGGGTTGAGACATCCATATATAATAGTTGTATTTTGATCTTGAACCCTTCATTGTTAGATTAATTATTTAATTAATCAAATATGAATTGACATAATTAATTGTTAATTAATTATATTATGGTCTATTGTTATTAAACACTAAACCTTGGATGAGGGCTTTAAAATATCATTAGTACCTTTTGATCTTTGCTAGAGACAATGCATTCAAACTTATTGTAGCTAATATTCAGACCTTAATCACATAGTTGACTTGTGCTGATCAAATTATCAGTTAATCCTTCAACTAACAACACATCATCAAGATAAGGACTAACCAATTTTCCTATGCATTTGATTCTTCCTCTAGCTTCATTATCAAAGTTAATAACTATTATAGTAGGGCTCTAACTCATTAAAATATCTCTTTTCACCAATTATGTACTTTGAACATCTACTACCAAAATATAAGTCACTAAAAGATGTATGAGTTATAAGACAAATGACAGATTTCTTGACATCGTTATCCTTATAATTATTACAATAACTTATACATAATTAAACATGTGTAAGATAAAACTTTTATTTCAAAAGCATTTAGCTATTAAGTTGTTTTACCCAAAAATACATTCCATTTTTGGCTATTAGTAGATATAAAGAACTAACGATATTCATTAATTTATTATAAAATGTCTGATAATTTGACATAATTTTTTTCTATGATGATATATAATAGCACTTCTTGAAAATTACTCAAATTTGTCATCACCTTCCAAACGAAAACTCGGTATTGCGTGCAAGTGTTGAGCTCTATGCATCGTGAGTCCAAACTTCTCTTCCATGTTCAAATTGGAAGGAGTAATATTATACGGAAGTTTCCAATTAAAACAATGCACCAACTGAGCTATAACCAATTTTACTGTAATCAAACCCATATGAATTCCAGGACAACGTCTCCGGCCAGAACCAAATGGTATACATTCAAACTCTTGGCCATGGAAATTCATTTTCTTATCAATAAATCTTTCGGGATAAAATTCTTCAGCATTGTGTAACCAAACATCGTGATCTCTCCCTATTGCCCATGCATTTACTATAATCCGTGTCTTTTTCTTTATAAAATAACCATCAATTATTATATTCTCTCTACATTCGCGAGGAACTATTAAAGGTCCAACAGGATAAAGTCTTAATATTTCATCAACCACCATATCTAAATAACTTAAGTTCTTCAAATCTTTCTCTTCAACCATTTTATTAAGTCCAACTTCATTCTGTATCTCATCTTGAAGGTTTTTCATCACTCTTGAATTTCTTAAAAGTTCAGATAATGTCCATTCAATTGCGGTAGCAGATGTATCAATTCCTCCTGCAAACATGTCTAGTAAAACTGCCTTGATGGTGGTTCGATCATTTACATGATTTTGTTCATTTTCTAGATCATTGGTTTGGTGCATAATTGATAGAAATGTGTCTATGAAGTCTTCATGACTTTTATCTATGTTTGTAATTTGTTCATGCTCTCTTATTATCATCTCTAATGCTTCATCAAGTGCTTTACTAGTTTTCTTGCATGCTCGTGTTAATCCCTAAAAAAAAATACAGTATTAAACCATCAAAAGAAATATATTTTAGCGGTTGAAAACAATTTTATTTGTTAAAAACAATCAAAAGAAATATATTGTTTAAATGAGAAAAATATGAAGGAAATGATGTAATAAACAAGATATTGAATACGTACCTGAAGATCAAAAGGGCCTAGCCAAGGGACATAATCAGCCAAATTAAAAGCTCCAACCAAAGTCATTGTTTCTTGAGCCAACTTCTTCAAGTCAAATTGCTCATACTTATTACTACCTAAAATTATTTTATACATAATATTTTCAATAAGATTCTCTACAACATCACTAACATCTACAACCTCACCCACCAGAGCAGCTTTTTCCAATGATTTAACCAAAACACCCAACTCTTGTTTTCTAACAGGAGCAAAGTTGTCAACTTTAGAAGCACTAAGAAGTTTCAAAGTGCAGAATTTTCTCACACTACGCCAATAAGGACCGTATTCAGAGAAAGCTAACTCTTTAGAACCGTAACACAAGATCTCGGATACTTGATTCTTTGGTCGGCTTGCGAAAACTAAGTCGTGAGTTTTAAGGAACAATTCTGCAGCTTTTGAAGATGAAATGACAACAGTTGGAACTTGACCAAGCTGTAAGTACATGATTGGGCCATATTTTCTGGAGAGTGATTGAAGTTTTCGATGTGGAAGTTTGCCTAACATGTGAAGGTTTCCAATGATTGGTAGTGTTGATGGACCTGGTGGCTTCTTGTGTTCTTGTTTTGGATGAAAGAAAAGTTTGAATAAAAGATAAGTGAATGTGAAAGTGAAGAGAAGTAAAGAAAGTATTGTAGCAGAAGACATGTCTGCAATGAATGATTTGGTTTGTATTACTAAGGTTGATGTGTTTGTTTGTGGATGGTTTAAGAGAGATTTATATAGAGTTATCATAATTATTATTGTTAGGATGTACTGAACAATTTGGCGGCCAAATCTCTAACATAGACATTGCCCCAACATGATTGCTATGTATAAATCAAACTTAAAATGATAAATGCCGAAACCGATTTTTGAAAACAAAAAATAATCACGACAATCAAACAATTGAATGATATCTAAAAGCTTTTAATAACAGAAAACTATATGATGCCTGCATAGGTAAAGATCTTTTAAAAAATTATTTTAATAAAAGAAAAATCTATGATGTTTGCATAGGTAAAAATAGACAGCATTTTAAATAAAATTAAAATCATTATACATCAATAAAAACTTGAGTTTTTAAAAATAATATAATATAAAAGATCTAAATTATTTAATTCACAACAAAATATAATAATAAAAAATTTACAAAAGATGCAATATCAATACTATAAAATTGCATTGATTTATAGATCCAAGATCCAAGCTCATGATGATGCAAGAGTGAATCTACCGAACCTTCTATACGCAACAGCAATCCACTAATGACTAACACAACTCCCGGCCCAAAAGGCAAACAAAAGCTAACCACCCTAGAACACCACCCCCAATGTTGGTAATTCACCTCACATCCTATAAAGAATTTCCTTTAATCTTGATCTCAAGATTGATGAACAAATCCACAATATGATAGTAATGGTGATAACAAGTAAAGAGTTATCAAGAACAGCAAAAGAGAAGAAGAATAACAAACAAACAGTAAGAAAGAGAAGAATGAGAGAAGAAATATTTGGAGAAAATTGTGTTACCCACAAACTGTGGGATTTCTGATTACTATTGAACTTTCACTTGCTAAACTCTGCAACTGTGAAATCTGTTCGATTTGATTACAAAGCAAGGCACCTATTTGTAGTTTTAGGTTTACAAAAGCCCAAAACATAAAAGGGTCAAAATATTCAAAATCAAATCTAGTCTAAATCATATCAAATCTCATCAAAACAAATATGTGTCAAAACAAACTGTTTCGACACACTATAAATTACATTTAACACACCACCTAATTCATTGTGTCTAAACTGTCTACATTCATCATGGCTCTTAGTCTTCTGAAGGCTTCGACTCACACTCCCTTCGTCATGATATCTGCAATCTGATTCTCAGTTCTGCAGTGTTCCAACTTCATCTTCCCTTCTGCTACCTTCTCTCGAAGATAATGGAACCTCATTTCGATGTGCTTGCTTCGACCATGAGCTATTGGATTCTTCGCTAAGTTGATAGCTGACATGCTGTCTATCTTCATGGTAATTGCTCCATGATTCTTCCCTGTGATTTCTTATTTGGTGCATCATCAAACCTCTACTTGTCTTGTAGAATTCGATACCAAGGAAATATGAGAGATTTCCCAAGTCTGACATTTCAAACTCCTCACTGGGGTCATGTTTGAAATCTTCGATCTCCTTCTTGCAACTCCCTGTTATCAACAAATCATCAACATAGAGACGTAGTATAAACAATTCGCCATTACTTCTTCTTACATATACTCCATGCTCAGTTGTACACTTCACAAATTCCTTCTCTCTTAAGAAGCTGTCAATTTTCTTATTCCAAGCTCTTGGAGCTTGCTTAAGTCCATACAGGGCTTTATGAAGCCTGTATACCTTTCTTTCTTCGCCTTGTTTCACAAACCCAGCTGGTTGTGCAACATAAACTTCTTCATCTAAGGGGCCATTAAGGAATGCACACTTCACGTCCATCTGACATGTGTGTCAGTTGTTCATATTTGTTAGACCAACAACCAACCTGATTGTTTCGATTCTAGCAATAGGAGCGAATACTTCATCGAAGTCGATTCCTTCCTTTTGAAGAATTCCTTTCGCCACAAGTCTCGCCTTGTGTCGAGTTACTTCTCCTTTAGGATTTACCTTCACCTTGTAAACCCACTTCACATAAATTGCCTTCTTGCCTTGCGGCATTTCGACAAGTGACCAGGTATCATTGACTTCAATGGACTCCAACTCTTCAGTCATTGCTTTCACCCACTTCGAATCTTTCAATGCCTCAACTGCATTGACTTGTTCGACATCTGCGTAGAAAGCATAAAGTACCAGCTCACCCTCTTCATCGACTACATCATCTAATGTAATTACACATTCTTGCAACCTTGCAGGGTGTCTTGTTCGTCGAGGTCTGCTTGAAACTGCTTCATCTGCAACTGGTTCCTATCGAACTTCTATTTCGACTTCACTGGCTGGTTCTTCACAAGATATTCTCACTGAATCCTTCTTGGCATTCTCAGTCCAATCCCATTCTTTAAGCTCATCTATGATCACGTCCCTGTTGATCACTACCCGCTTATTCACTGGGTCGAACAACTTGTAACCTCCTGTAGAATGATATCCTATCAAGATCATCTGATCATCAAGCTTCCTTCTCAACTGATCTGGCAAATGTCTATGTGCTATAGATCTAAACACCTTTAAGTGATTGAGACTAGGCTTGACACCAGACCAACATTCTTCTGGTGTGATTCCTTCAAGCTTCTTCGTCAGACATCTGTTCAATATATATGTTGCTGTCGAAACTGCTTCTCCCTATAATTCTTTGGGTAGATGCTTTCCATTCAACATACTTCTCACCATATTCATGATGGTTCTGTTATTGCGTTCTGCAATCTCATTTTGCTGTGGAGTGTAAGGCGGCACCACCTCATGCACAACCCTTTCTTTTACACATAGTGTATCGAACTCTTTCGACACATACTCTCCACCACCATCAATCCTCAAAATTTTCAGCTTTCGACCACTCTGTCTTTCGACCATAGACTTGAATCTGGAAAATACCTCAATCACATCACTTTTCTTATTGATGAGGTAAGTCCACAACTTTCGACTATAATCATCTATAAATGTGACAAAGTATCTATTGCCACCAATCGAATCCACCTGGATTGGACCACATACATCAAAGTATATGACTTCAAGTATTGCCTTCGACTTCCTTCCTGCATCCTTGTTGAAGCTATTCTTGTGTTGTTTCGACTGAACACACTCCTCACAGACTTCCCTTGAAATGTCGATTTCTGGTAATCCTGAAACCATATTTCTTCTCTTCAGTTCTCTGATGTCATTAAAGTTGAGATGACCTAGTCGAAAATGCCATAACCACTCATCTCTGCTGGTTGTAGTTGTTAGACACTTGTGCTCCATCACATTGAGTTCAATCTTGAAGGTCCTATTCTGAGACATTGGAGCCTTCAAGATTAATCTACCACCTGCGTCGAGAACTCTTATCATCTTGTTTTCGACAACTACCTTGAAGTTCTTTTTGACAAGCTGCCCTATACTGAGCAAATTACTCTTCATGCCTGGTATGTGCAACACATTGAAAATTGTTGACCTTTTGCCATCTTTCCTCATAATCAGAACATCACCAACACCTTCAGCTGCTAGAGTGTTGTCATTTGCAAACTTCAATGTGTTCTTCGACGAGGGCTTCATGTTGACAAACCAATCTTTCCTTCCAGTCATGTGTGATGAGCATCCTGAGTCCAAGTACCATTGATCTTGGAATCTTTCTTCATCTTTTGTTGTGACCATTAGCAATGTTTCTTCTTCTTCATGTTTCGCCAACTTTGCATCAATCTCTTGATTTCTCTTCCTTTCTAGACAATCACTAACATAATGACCATACTTCTGGCAATTGAAACATTGAATGTGGCTTTTGTCTGTCTTTCGACCACCACCTCTTCCTTTACCTGCAGCACCACCTCTTTGGTTTCCTTGGTTCCAAGGTTTCTTTTGATTCGATTGGTTTCCTCCTTTGTTGCCATTCCAGCTACCTTTGCCTTTTCTTTCCTTTTCTGACTGCCCCTGCAAAGCCATATCTTTCGACTTTCCTGCAGCTCTCTTAGCCATCCTCTGTTCATGAGACTCAAGAGTGCCTTGAAGCTCTTCCTTCGTCAACACTGACAGATCTTTCGACTCTTCTATGGCAACTATCACGTGGTCGAATTTTGGAGCCAACTATCTCAAAATCTTTGAGACAACCGCTTTCGTCTCCAGCGCTTCTCCACATACTTTGATTTGATTCACCAACTTTGTAACTCTGGTGAAGAAATATGTAATGCTTTCGTTGTCTTCAATCTGAAGCAACTCATAGATTCTCTTGTGAGTTTGTAAGCTCACCTTTTTCACCTTCTCTGCGCCTCCAAACGAATTTTCAAGAATCTCCCATGCTTCTTTTGCTGAATCAACATCACTAACACTACAAGAAAAACGATGGATTACAACGGTTATTTTGGCATATTGCGACAGTTAAAACCACCATCAATTATATGCTACGACGGTTGTAGTACCGTCGCAGAAACGTGTGTCCCCAGGCTGTTTAGCGATGGTTGCCAAAACCGTCACACCAACCGTCGTTATATTTCACGACGGGCTGGAACTTACCTATACTGAAGATGGTGACGGTTAAAGACCGTCGTTACTAGCCTTTTGATTTTTGTTTTCATTGTTGATTGTGACGGTTTAAAACTGTCGTGAACTCTATTTCACGACTGGTTGGAACTGACATAAACTGGAAATGATAACAGTTAAATACTGTCGTGAATATACTTTTGATTTTTGTTATCATTGTCGTTTTGGTTACCATTGTTGATTGTGACGGTTTAAAACTGTCGCAGAAAACGCCGCAGGTAATTGGAAGTTTCACAGAAAAAGTCACATCAAATTGTAAATTCGCAAATAATTTCTCTCTCAGGTTTTTAATTATTATTATTAATTTTGTTGAATTAATTATTATTATTAATTGTGTTTAATTCATATTTAAAATATTATAGTTATTATTAAATATCAAAGTAACAATAATATAAAATTATAATCTAATTTGAATAAAACAATGCAACACTAATCACATTCAAATTTTTAAAGTAACCAAACATTACTATA